ACTTTTAGGTCCAGTACAGCAGTTTGAAGCGCACGTTAAGCAAGACAATAACCTTCCATAAACTGATTTCTTTTTCAGGGCAACGCTGGCGTTGGCTTATCTCTTCTTATCGTCGTCATTACTCTATTGGTAGCTCTAGTTCCAGTCCTTTCAGCTATTGGTGTTTGTGAGCGATGTCACGTGGGCAATGGTGGTGTTTACTTCTTGTTGTCACATGTCCTTGGTCAGCGGGCTGGTGGCGCTGTAGGTGTTATATATGCCTTTGGACAGGTAAGAAACTCACCCATGTATAAGGACACCGACCGGAGAGGTGTCCGTTATATAGAGGTTTGCGTAGGAGAAATTCCTTGTACACCGACCAGAGAGAGATGTGTCCGTTATATAGAGGTTTCCTTAAGAGAAACGCCTTGTACTCCTTGTATACCTTGTATTTTAAATTTGCATGTATATATKTTTTATCAATGTAWTTTAGAAATTGTTTTTTTTAATGTTTGTACTTTTTTAAGGCGAAAGTAAGTATGTGATTCATAAGCCCTTACATCAACATGATAAAATTCATCTCAGAAGTTCCTATAGTAAACATATTCTTTTCGTTTCAGGCTGTTAGCATTTCATTGTTCTGTGCGGGTCTTGGAGAATCTCTCGCCCAGTCTGCTCACTGGGACGCGGCCTGGGCTGTCCGAGTAATTGGACTATCAACAGCCTTTCTTATGTTGTTAGTAGTTYTAGCGGGCGTCAAGTGGGTTGTTAAGCTGCAACTGCTTTTGCTTGCTATCATCATGCTGTCAGTGTTGGACTTTATGATTGGAACTTTTGCACACACAGATGAAGGTATTGTATGTTGAAATTATGGGAATTGAAACAGTGAAAAATAATAAAAGAATGGGACAAAAGAATAAATGGATGAACGAATAGATTACTGGTAGTCGAAGGAAAGAAATWACTGTAATAAGTCAGGAAAGAACGAACGAATAAATGAATGACTAATGGACTTATTGTTGAATAGATAAATAGAAGAATTAGGAAGTTGTYCTTCAGTAGCAWTAKGATTTAAAATGAGTGMTGAAGGCAGTACACTACTGTAGAAAATCAAATAAGTTTTGACGAGCTTCTGCCGGACACCGKAATATCAGGTCACAAAAATAGCATACAAAAATAACATATAAAATAAATAAACACGAAGTGACCGTATCGATGATGGACACTCTATGACTCTCAGTTGTCTTTCTATCATTCCATATAAGTGAACTGTGCCCCTCTTGTTATTTCTGTCTTTTGTGTGCGATTTTAAGGAATATTTTTTGAGTAGAGTAAGCGCTTTAAAATTGTATGCCATCTATATACAACTCCTACCCACCGTCAAACATGCACCCACTAACCCTACATCAAACCACCCACCCACCCACCAACCTAACTTCAAACCACCCACCCCAACCATCAAAAGGATTGGGTCTTAGACGATGTTCTTTATATATTTTTTCAGCTGCTGGTTTTACTGGTTACAAGACTGACAACATGGAGAAAAACGCTGCACCAGCCTTCACGAAAGGACAGAACTTCTTCACYGTATTCGGTGTTTTCTTTCCAAGTGCGACTGGCGTTTTATCGGGAATCAATATGAGCGGTGATTTGAAGGATCCTTCGTCTAATATACCAGCAGGAACGCTGGCTGCTTTGGGATTTAGG